TGATTGGGTGTGTTTCTCCTGAGTTCTGATTGGGTGTGTTTCTCCTGAGTTCTGATTGGGTGTGTTTCTCCTGAGTTCTGATTGGGTTGTGTTTCTCCTGAGTTCTGATTGGGTGTGTTTCTCCTGAGTTCTGATTGGGTGTGTTTCTCCTGAGTTCTGATTGGGTTGTGTTTCTCCTGAGTTCTGATTGGGTGTGTTTCTCCTGAGCTCTGATTGGTTGTGTTTCTCCTGAGCTCTGATTGGTTGTGTTTCTCCTGAGTTCTGATTGGGTTGTGTTTCTCCTGAGTTCTGATTGGGTGTGTTTCTCCTGAGCTCTGATTGGTTGTGTTTCTCCTGAGTTCTGATTGGTTGTGTTTCTCCTGAGTTCTGATTGGGTGTGTTTCTCCTGAGTTCTGATTGGTTGTGTTTCTCCTGAGTTCTGATTGGGTGTGTTTCTCCTGAGTTCTGATTGGGTGTGTTTCTCCTGAGCTCTGATTGGGTGTGTTTCTCCTGAGCTCTGATTGGGTGTGTTTCTCCTGAGTTCTGATTGGTTGTGTTTCTCCTGAGCTCTGATTGGGTGTGTTTCTCCTGAGTTCTGATTGGGTGTGTTTTAGGGATTGCCCGATACCGATACTGGCATCGGGGATCGGGTCGATACTGTCCTAATATACTCGTACTCGTACTCATAAAAATTCGCCGATACCACGCACCGATACCACGTACATTTTGCAAAACGAAACTGGCCGCCGCGAGTGCTTTGTCGAGGTGAACTGAGGCATAGGAAAGTATAATGTCGGCGGTTTGGGCTCATTTCAAGATAAGGGGTGATGACAACAGCAAGGCAGACTGTGAGTTATGTTCAGCTAAGGTGTAGAGAGGAGGGAAAGAAAGTACATCATTTAACACCAGCAATCTAATTAAACATCTGAAGACGCATCATAGATCTGATGGCCGAGCGCGCCCGCGGGCGGTAATGCACTCACTCTGTGTGTGCGGGAGAATAAAACGATTCGCGGGACTCCCGCAAACTAGAAATATCTATGAATAAAACATAAAAACTAAAAGATTTTTATTCATCTCTTGCAGAAAAGCAACAAGAACAACTACAACAAAATAGAAACGATTTACAGGCCAGAGTTTCTATTCATAACATGGTTACAGCGTTGAGCGATGTAGCCAATCACAGACATATGTGTTGATTTCTTGAACGCAATGGCCAATCAGAAGCATTTAAGATAGACTCCCCTCACCGCTCAAAACGCACTTTTTTGTTCAGTGCTGAATTCTGTATGCTGGCAAATCCTCTAATTATAACAAACAAAGTGTGGATATTATGAAAGATTGATTGTGCAGTCAGCTTCATTGATAATAACAGAGATGTGTGAGATCGCGATGAACTGTCAGCTTTTAGGATTTATTAAGGGAGCGCACTTTGCGCGCATTCAGTCATGCCAGACCATGCACGCAGTAGCCTGCTTGCTTTTATGTTAAATTAACAGTGGTTTGTGTGTTAATACATTTATTATTTTACTAATTTTTATTTATTTTTAGACTTGTTAAAACAAGCAGAGAAGAAAATAAAAACAGTCTTCTAACCTGTGTTCTAAAATAGTCGTCTTCTTTTCTGGGAGCCTATTACTTTTGCGGTAGAAATATCGGTATCGGTACTCGGTATCGGCAAGTACACAAATGTAAATACTCGTACTCGTATCGGTTTGAAAAAAAATGGTATCGGGCCATCCCTAGTGTGTTTCTCCTGAGTTCTGATTGGTTGTGTTTCTCCTGAGTTCTGATTGGGTTGTGTTTCTCCTGAGTTCTGATTGGGTGTGTTTCTCCTGAGCTCTGATTGGGTGTGTTTCTCCTGAGTTCTGATTGGGTGTGTTTCTCCTGAGTTCTGATTGGTTGTGTTTCTCCTGAGTTCTGATTGGGTGTGTTTCTCCTGAGTTCTGATTGGGTGTGTTTCTCCTGAGTTCTGATTGGGTGTGTTTCTCCTGAGTTCTGATTGGGTTGTGTTTCTCCTGAGCTCTGATTGGTTGTGTTTCTCCTGAGTTCTGATTGGTTGTGTTTCTCCTGAGCTCTGATTGGTTGTGTTTCTCCTGAGCTCTGATTGGTTGTGTTTCTCCTGAGTTCTGATTGGGTGTGTTTCTCCTGAGTTCTGATTGGGTGTGTTTCTCCTGAGTTCTGATTGGGTGTGTTTCTCCTGAGTTCTGATTGGTTGTGTTTCTCCTGAGTTCTGATTGGGTGTGTTTCTCCTGAGTTCTGATTGGGTGTGTTTCTCCTGAGTTCTGATTGGGTGTGTTTCTCCTGAGTTCTGATTGGGTGTGTTTCTCCTGAGCTCTGATTGGTTGTGTTTCTCCTGAGTTCTGATTGGGTGTGTTTCTCCTGAGTTCTGATTGGGTGTGTTTCTCCTGAGTTCTGATTGGGTGTGTTTCTCCTGAGTTCTGATTGGGTGTGTTTCTCCTGAGCTCTGATTGGTTGTGTTTCTCCTGAGTTCTGATTGGGTGTGTTTCTCCTGAGTTCTGATTGGGTGTGTTTCTCCTGAGTTCTGATTGGGTGTGTTTCTCCTGAGTTCTGATTGGGTGTGTTTCTCCTGAGCTCTGATTGGTTGTGTTTCTCCTGAGTTCTGATTGGTTGTGTTTCTCCTGAGTTCTGATTGGTTGTGTTTCTCCTGAGTTCTGATTGGGTGTGTTTCTCCTGAGTTCTGATTGGTTGTGTTTCTCCTGAGCTCTGATTGGGTGTGTTTCTCCTGAGTTCTGATTGGGTGTGTTTCTCCTGAGTTCTGATTGGGTGTGTTTCTCCTGAGTTCTGATTGGTTGTGTTTCTCCTGAGTTCTGATTGGGTGTGTTTCTCCTGAGCTCTGATTGGTTGTGTTTCTCCTGAGTTCTGATTGGTTGTGTTTCTCCTGAGCTCTGATTGGGTGTGTTTCTCCTGAGTTCTGATTGGGTGTGTTTCTCCTGAGTTCTGATTGGTTGTGTTTCTCCTGAGTTCTGATTGGTTGTGTTTCTCCTGAGTTCTGATTGGGTGTGTTTCTCCTGAGTTCTGATTGGGTGTGTTTCTCCTGAGTTCTGATTGGGTGTGTTTCTCCTGAGTTCTGATTGGGTGTGTTTCTCCTGAGTTCTGATTGGTTGTGTTTCTCCTGAGTTCTGATTGGTTGTGTTTCTCCTGAGCTCTGATTGGTTGTGTTTCTCCTGAGTTCTGATTGGGTGTGTTTCTCCTGAGCTCTGATTGGTTGTGTTTCTCCTGAGTTCTGATTGGTTGTGTTTCTCCTGAGCTCTGATTGGTTGTGTTTCTCCTGAGCTCTGATTGGTTGTGTTTCTCCTGAGTTCTGATTGGGTGTGTTTCTCCTGATCTCTGATTGGGTGTGTTTCTCCTGAGTTCTGAGTTGTTGCTCTTTTGTCGTTTGATTGGCTGTCGCTCTAAGTAGGTTATAAAGCCCCAGAGTGAGTTTCATGCGAGAGACACATTCACACAGAGGAATATCCCATCTGTCATAAATGAGCAAAACATCTCAATATCATTAGAAACGTCTGCTTAGGTGAGAGACTGTTTTTTTTTTGGTCATGTTTTCCAGCACAAATATCTAAACATTCTTAAATCAAGATACATTGAAGCAAAATTACTTACATTTTTCAGAAAAGATTTAATATAGCTTAAATATCTGTAAATCATCTGTAAATAAATGTATTCAAAGGGAACATTTATTTGATTTAATAGTGTAAATAAAATGCATATGTTTGAGTCGTTTATCATTTTATATTTTGCATTATTTTGCTTGTAAATTGCCATCTTTGGAAACTTAACTAACTCATAAGATCTGTCTGTTTTCCTTTCCATGTATTATTCCAGAACTTCTTTTGCCATTATTTGCCAAAAATACAAAGTTAATATCTTAAATAATGTTGCTTCTCCAGTAAATCAAACTTGATTTAAGAATGTTTAGATATTTGTACTGGAAAATACAAAAATACTAGGAAAATATATTTTTTATTAGTGTGCATCATAAGCTCTTCACAGGTATGAACTCGAATTGCTTGAATGGCTTAAAGACCGGAATATAACTATTATTTACTTATTTTTTTAAAAGAGCCATTGTGTAAAGAACAGTTAATATAAGCACATTATCACTAAACCCATGTGAATTAATATGAAATCACATCTTTTCCCTCTATATTCACCTTTAACATAATCTTTTACATGGAGAGACTTCAGTAAACTTTATTGGCACAACTCTGAGCATTTAAAGATTTGAAATATACAATACAGAAAATAGATGAATAAAAAATATTGGAATTTGTAAAAAAAAAAAAAAAAAACAGACAGTAAAAACAAACCAAAAAATGGCTGATTAACATAAAACCTCACTTTGAAAAGATGATTTATGACTTTATCATGTTAGAAAACTGGAAAGAGAATGGTCTAAATATAGATTTTGCATTGACAAACACACTGTATATGCAACTCACACTGAAAAGAAAAAGAAATGGCAAGGAACACATGGAAGTAGAAAACCGAAATGGTATTTTCTTGTAAAACATACAGCATACTTTTCCAGTGCGTGTATCTCAAGGTTTAGATTATAAAAGTGTTACTGTGACACTCTGACAACATCAGGGATGAAACTCAAGAAAGATCAAATTCACAAGCATCAATCTACAGCTTCCAAGGTTCATTTTCTGAAAACCAAAACAATCTATTTAATTTGTTGGGTGCCGACTAAAGACTTTTTGAGATCATGTTTGTGATATGTGGATATACAGTAACATCATTTGAGGAATCAAAGAGTCGCTCTTAGAAGAAGAGGTTCTGTAGAGACCTCTAGGGTTCTTGACTTAATTTTAAAGAACTCTTTATACCAAAACGGTTCTATATAAGGAGAAATGTGTTACATGATCACCTAATACTTTATATTGATTTCTCTAGTGATAAAGTATGTTTACAAGCTGCTCGAGTCATAAAATGTAATGATCCCATGATGGAACCCCTAAAGGTTCTAAATATGAAGCGCCTGACGGAACCCTTGAAGATTCTTTTTAGAACCTTTTCTAATTCTAATCATATCTGAGATTTAGTGTACATCCTCCCTGAGCTTGTGTTTTATGGTTCGGTGGAGTTTGAGTCTGACGGGTTCTCCTCTCTGAAGTGCTGAGGTCACAGAAGGTCAGAGGTCAAAGGTGAGTTTGAGGCTGGACGCCCGGGGTCACGGATGCGTTCGATGCTGATGATCAACATCTTCTCGGCGGTCAGTTCACTGCTCACAGATAAAGGGTTCATGTCTGCTGGAAGCACAGACTTATGGGTAAACTTTCCTCCAACGCTCCCGTCTGCTCCGATCTGAAACCAGACGAGACAAGTTTAGGGTCGCTATGATTTTAAAATGTTTTTGAAAGAAGTTTATTCTGCTCACCGAGGATGCATTTATTGATCAAAAATACGGTAAATATTATCACAGTTTTAAACAGCTCTTTCTGTGTGAATATTTGTTAAAGTGTAATTTATTCCTGTGTATTTTCAGCATCATCACTCCAGTCTTCGGTGTCACACGATCCTTCAGAAATCAGTATAATATGTTTCAAGAAATATTTTTCATGAAATATATCAATGTATCAGATTTAGTGGAAACTGTGATGCATTTTATTTTTTTAGGATTCATTAAATAAAAAGTTGAAAAGAACAGCATTTATTTGCAATATAATTATAAATGTCTTTACTGTCACCGTTAATCAATTTAATTTGTCCTTGTTGAATAAAAGTATTAATTTCTTTCAAAATAAAAATCTTGCAGTATTTAAAACTACATGTAGTGTGCATCGATAAACACTTCAAACTGTAGTATTCTACACTATCCAGTGATCTTTTGAGAAATAAATACAGCTACTTCATATTTTAATCCAATAATATATTATGTAAAAAAAAATCCTCAATTCAAGTCAGTCTGTTCAAAATAATGAGTTATTATTAATAAAAGAAGTACACTGTGGCATACTTTTAAAAACACTACTTATTACAGAAATGAAATGGGCCTACTTGAAAGACTTTTAATTTGACATTATAATAAAGTTACGTTTTTAAAAAGTGTACTTAAGCGTACTCCTTTTATTTCACAAACACTATGCTACAGTATCTGCAATTACAGTTTTTAAAAATACACTTAAGATTTGAAGTGCACATTAAGCATACTTCTTTATACATGTATATGTGTGAAACACCCCTTGGGATAATGTACACTGCATACTACTACAAGTGAAAAATTTGAATATTGTGCAAAAGTTCATTTATTTCAGTAATTCAACTTAAAAGGTGAAACTAATATATTATATATAGACTCATTACATGCAAAGTGAGATATTTCAAGCCTTTATTTGTTATAATTTTGATGATTTACAGCTTATGAAAACCCCAAATTCAAAATTAGAATATTGTGAAAAGGTTTTCATAAGCTGTAAGCCATAATCATCAACATTATAACAAATAAAGGCTTGGAATATCTCACTTTGCATGTAATGACTCTATATAATATATTAGTTTCACATTTTAAGTTGAATTACTGAAATAAATGATATTTTGCACGATATATACATTTTTTGAGTTTCACCTGTACATTCCTGAGACAACCGTTAGCATGCTATTCTGAATATTTCCCATGAGATCACACACACACACACACACACCTTCTCCGCATGAATAACCACACGCTGATTATACGCCACCACAACCACTTCATGAGGCTCGAACCCGCTGACGTCTGCAGACAGAAAGTAGCGGTTCCCCCGCGCTCGGACCGCGCTCACACCGGAGCCGCGCGCTGAAACACAGACACTGATGAGAATAAAGGTGAGCGGTAGCCAACAGGGATGTTAACACGACAACGATATGCTTAAAACGGAGACGTTTGTTTTCCACGTACATACGACACCATTGTCAAAACGATCCCCATTCACACGGATCCGCGAGAACGACTAAAAACGCTGTATTCTGCTGCCAGGCCACTAGATGGCGATGAAACACTATAGACTGAACAAGTGATACGCATGAGCATGACGTCAGCGTTTTCAGAGATTCACGTTTTTGTTGTTCAACTTTCAAACTTGCCCTTTGAAACCCGTTTTCAAAAGTTTGCATTTTCAGGCGCACAAAACGCTGTTATCGTGTTAAATTAAACAAACGGCCAAAACGCAAAAAAAATTTACGTTAATTTATACGACAATAGGTTTGGGACCAACAATGCCTTTACCGTCTCCATGTAAACAGCAAAAACGTGAATTTGTGAAAATGGTGACGTTAAGCCCATGTATAATATGTGTTCATGAGGTGTTTCTTGACAAAGTGACATCGCCACCTACTGGCCTGGCTGAATGAATGATGCATTTATATAGCGCTTTCATATGTACAACTGTACACCCAAAGCGCTTTACAATCATATCAGGGAATCTCTCCTCCACCACCACCAGAATACAGCCGTTTAGTCATTTTCACAGATCCTTGTGAATGTGAATCAGTTCATCGCTGTTGTGTAAACATACCCTAAATGAAGCCTCTTAGGGAATTATCCAAACCTGTGTAGCTTCACACGGCAGGCTATAGTTTAGAGCTGTAGGATTCATTGTTAAAAGATCGCAGTCTCGATTCAAACACACACGCGATCTCATTCCTAAATGACAGCGATTCTTCTCTATGAAACCTTTGACAAGTCCGATCACAGCGAACATTCAGATCTGTGTTCTGATCCAGAGAGAGTTGTAGCACAGAAGCACTGGGATAAAGGTTAATAGTTCGGATATAAACACTGACGTCTACGGTAGTGATCAATATAGAGAAAATCACCATTTGCACCGCTTCAAATAAATGTTTTATCAATTGCATCGTTACACCAGTAGGTGGCGACAAGGGATCAAATGTATCCCTCATCGAATCATTCACTCGTGAGATTAGTTCAAAAACGCGGATTCATCCAGTCATGAAACAAGTGAAGTCTTTATGAGTGAGTCATTGAATCATTCACTCAAACCGATTTTTAAAATAAATAATTAAATTACATATGCTTTAAAGGTCCCGTTCTTCATGTTTTTTTGAAGCTTTGATTGTGTTTACAGTGTGCAATATAACATGTGTTCATGTTTCGCGTGTAAAAAAACACAGTATTTTTCACACAATTTACTTATCTGTATACCGCTGCTTTCACTGTCCAAAAAACGGCCCGATGACTTCCTTGTTCTATGAAGTCCCTCCTTCAGAAATACGTAACGAGTTCTGATTGTGCCAGCGGTTCCTGTGTTGTGATTGGACAGCAGCTTATCGCACGTTGCCCGGAAAGGTCACGCCTCTTACCATGAATTGGAGATGCATGCGCAGCTGAAGTGCTTCTTCTCCGTGGGAGCGCAACAAGACCACGCCCCCTTTTTTTGTGGATTCCCGTGGGCGGAGATTAGTCAAAAAACTGTTCTAGTTACGTCATTAAAAAAGGAAGTAGAGGGATGTAGTCCAAACCGGCCGTTCGCTGTAGGCTTTGAAAGGGGACTTCTGTTATTAAAATATCTCGCTAGGCATTGAATTAATTTTACAGGTATTATTTATGCTCTAACAGCAACATTACACACTAACTAGAAAAAGTGTGAAAAATGGAATCGCGAAGAACGGGACCTTTAAATAGACTGCAGCAATTAATATTTTGTCAGAGCTTCTTGTAATTTACTTTTTTTTTTGTTGTTGTTGTCAGAATCGTGATCTCTATATGAAACAAAAGAATAAAGAAGAAACAGTCAAACAGTCATGAAAGCGCACTCGCTTTAAAGCAACACCAAGTAACTTTTCCTCAGCGGTCGCCCTACAGGTTGGAAGCGGAACTGTCCATTACCGCTGTCGTAAATAATGTAGCCCGCACGCGTACGCTCGCTGTTTATCCAGCACTGGCTTTGGAATCAACAATGGCCACTGACAAGGTAGAGTATTATATATATTATATATATATCACTCACCTTTTTCCTCTTCTGAGTCTCCTCCGACAAAACCTTTGTCTTCTAAGTTTTTGTTACTGCTTCGGCCATGACAAAAACATAAGCACGAAAGCCGGAAAACAAACGCTGGTTGGGCTCTCACGTCCGAATTTGAGGAAGTGGTGGGGGAAGTGACGTATGCCGTAAAGCAGTCGAATTTTGTAGTTCTTTTTGTGAAGTTACATAGTTACAAGTAGTGCAAGTAAAAGCGATACAGACCTCGTCAGGATACGGCAGACGTGTCATTTAACCTATTGTAAGTCGATGTACTATCACAAGGGTCTTGGAAATATATTATGAAGGTTGAAAAACTACATAGTGTTACTTTAAGTGTACTCAAATTGCCTTTTACTTAATTAATACTATATTATTTGCAAGTACAGATTTGGGGAAAAAAAATATATATATATATATATATATACACTTTTAAATACAGATTTAAAACACAAAAGTTTGCAACAACATAAAAGTGTTTTAAGTGTTCACAGGTGTAATTTGAACTATGTGCATTGTGATTTAGGGTTAAAGGAAATGTCTGTAAATGTCCTAGCCGGAAATTACCTGCACCTCCTCTCCATTCTTCTACAGGTTTTGTTTCTTACAGTGCACACTATAATTGTGTTTTGCAGTCTGCAGTCGGCGGAGGTCTCGCAGCAGCTGTACATCACACTTTCACACCGGTTCTCTGGTTAGTGTGTGCTCTGAGCGCTGAGTAATGCTCTCTGGGGGGGTTTCTTACTCACTCCAGTCCAAACCCATCGGAAAGAACATTAAAATGAAACATGAAAGTACTTTTATGAAAGTACCTTCACAAAAATATCCACAAATAACGCTGAATAAATCTTGGACCTATTGCCTGGTGAACTTTACATTTTACATTAGAAGGTGTTCTCCTCACTCACCCTGTACTTCGTCTCCGAGGGTCCAGTCGCCCTGGTTTCCTCCTTGGGGTGTGTGGTACTGTTGGTCCCCATGGTAACCTCCAAAAGACTCTCGGTCACCTTGGTAACCTATAAAACACTTGTTTACCTTGGTAACCCATAAAAGACTCTTGATCACTGTGGTAATAAACAGTCGATTAACCTCCAAAGGACTCGGCCCACGGCGACTCATCCTGTACATCACCATGGCAACGGCTGAAGGACTCGGGTTCGAACCCGTTTGTGATGGAGCTGATGGATGTTTCTTCTCCAAACTCGCTGTGAAGTCTCGGGTGGAGGGAGTCGGTGTTGAAGGACCGGACGGTGCTGGTGCTGTAACGTGACGAGCGCTGGAACGACGAGGCTGAAGAAGCCATGGGCTCACGGGGGGAGGAGAGAAGCGCTGCCTCTGCGGTGAACCGGTCTCATATAGCGAGCAGACGCAGTGCATTATGGGTCAGCTGGACACCCTAACCACTCCATAAAAGGCCTTGGCTCTGGAATCCACTCCTGGAATAACGGTCAGCGAGATAAGACATGGAAAACTTCTCCAAATCAGCGGGAGACAGTGGGATCAGACACACCCGCAGAATCAACTGATCGAAAAACTGCAAATAAAATAAGAATAAAAACAACAAAACAAACAAAAATGAACACTAAAAGTGTATATCGATTAAAAGTAAACCCAGTCAGGATCAGCGAACAAACAAACAAACAAACAATAAATAAATGTGTATCTTAAACACAAGTGTGTGTTTATCAATTACAAGTAAATCTAATCAGTGTCAGGACTAATGAATGGATGAATAGATGCTTGTTTTGAACCCTTTCATGCATGAATTATGACAACCTCAGGATTTTTTCCCTGTTTTTATTTATCTTAGAGCATGAAAAACAAGATCTGAACTTTTTTTTTTCTTTTGCACATTTTACAAAGAGATTTTTTAGACGTCCACTTCAATGGACAGTGTGCGTTTTTGGTTTTAACCGAAGAGATACACAGTAATACTGCATCTAACAAACCAATGAATAAAATAATTTAAAATCATGCGAAAACTATAAAATATATACGAAAAATATAATACAGGTTCAGTTATTGCAAACGCAGTTGAGTTTGTTCTTGTCCGAACAGCAGAAGGAGAAGAACTTCATACAAGCTGAACGTTGCATGTCTTTGATATCAGAACGGGTCTGGTGGAGATACAGCTCAGTGGAAACCCAACTCAGACTATGTAGTAAAAGCTCATGCTATTTCCGATTTACCCTTATTAGCTCATAATTCTGATTATGTTCAAATTGGACAAATTTCTACCGTAGCTCTCCTCTCTGAGAAAACCTCAGACTGAAATCTACACTGATCTATTGATGTTTTCATGCGGTGGAAAAACATGCATTACATGATCAGATTACTTTTTATGATGTTAAGAGTAAATTAACGCATAACAAGTAACATGCATTACTTGTAACATCACAAAAGTAATTGATTACGTAATGCATGTTACTTGTTATGCGTTAATTTACTCGTAACATCAAAAAGTAATCTGATTATGTAACGCATGTTACTTGTAATGTGTTACTTTACTTGTAACATCAAAAAAGTAATCTGATTACGTAATGCATGTTACTTGTTATGCTTTAATTTACTCGTAACATCAAAAAGTAATCTGATTATGTAACGCATGTTACTTGTAATGTGTTACTTTACTTGTGACATCAAAAAGTAATTGATTATGTAACGCATGTTACTTGTATACATTACTTTACTTGTGACATTAAAAAAGTAATCTGATTACGTAATCCATGTTACTTGTTATGAGTTACTCTACTTGTAAATCGTAATATTAAAAAAGTAATCCGATTCTGTAATGCATGTTTCTTGTAATGCATCACTTTACTCGTAACACCAAAAAAGTAATCTGATTACATAATGCATGTAACTTGTAATACATTACTTTACTTGTGACATCAAAAAGTAATCTGATTACGTATTGCATGTTACTTGTAATGTGCTACTTTACGTAATCAGACTACTTTTTTGATGTAACAAGTAAAGTAACACATTACAAGTAACTTGCGTTACATAATCAGATTACTTTCGGATGTAACATGTAAAGTAACACATTACAAGTAACTTGCATTACGTAATCAGATTACTTTTTGATGTCACAAGTAAAGTAATGTATTACAAGTAACATGCATTATGTAATCAGATTACTTTTTTGGTGTTACGAGTAAAGTGATGCATTTCAAGAAACATGCAATACAGAATCGGATTACTTTTTTAATATTACGATTTACGACTAGAGTAACTGATAAAAAGTTACATGCGTTACATAATCAGATGACTTTAGTTTTTGATGTTACAAGTAATGCAGTACAAAAAAAATCATTACGTAATCAGATTACTTTTTTGAAGTCATGAGTAAATGCATTACAATAAACATGCATTACGTAATCAGATTACTTTTTGATGTTAGGAGTAACGTAACGCATAACAAGTAACATGCATTACATAATCAATTACTTTTTTGACGTAACTGCAAATTACATTCTAATACCCCAAATACATTTAAAACCCCAAAAAGTTACTGCAGATGAAGTATTTTCAAGTACAACAGTCACGGTAATCGTATGAGTTGTAGCTGAAATATAGCCAGTCCTGCATGATGTCCAATTTAGTGGACAGATGATTAATCAATTTCCTCCCAATCTAAAATCAATAATTGGAAAATATACCAATGCTTATATGTGACAATTTTTTTTAACTGCATGCAAGAGTCTCCTGAATAAATGAACGATATTCCGGAGCAACTTGGCATTTCTGATCCGCCATCTTGGTTTGGAGGGGAAAAAAAAATTCCACATACAATGGTTTTCCACTTGGTGGCAGTGTATAGGATGATGCACTAGTGTTCCCTGTAGAGGTTGATGTGCAACTGCAATCAAAATCCATGCATACACAATAAATTACATTTTGATTAGCCGTCCTCTGTAGTGAAAGGGTTAAATTACATTTTATTATTATTTATCAACTACAATTGAATCCAGTCAGTGTCATGTTAGACCTGAATAAAAAAATAAAAAAATAGAACTGTAGGCAAATTGATGATGCCCAAGTTGTTTTATCATTTTTTGAGCATGTTGATAAAACTAATATCTAATAAAATTATTTTCTCTTAAGGCCCGATCACACCAAGGACAATAACCATAAAGGTAAAGATACAGTTCTAAAAATCGATCTAAATATAAAAGAATTGCAAAGTCCACACAACTATAACAATAACGGCACAGAGACACGATATCATTGAAATCACTTTCAGTACGATTTTTCCAGCTGATGAACAATAAAAACATTGACCGCCAATCAGAATCCATTCTGCTTTACAATAAAAACATTGACAGCCAATCAGAATCCATCCTGCTTTACAATAAAAACATTGACAGCCAATCAGAATCCATCCTGCTTTAAAGGGGTTGAGTATTTGAAGCGGCAGAAACTGCAGTGCGCACTTATAATAAACAGACTATAGTATGCAAAAAACAGTAGCCTACGTCAAAAGACTTGTTTGAATGCATACTATGTGAAAAACAGTAGATGAAAAGTCCCTGAAAGAGCGACTTCTCCCGGTGAGATTTTGAGGTGTGCATACGATGGACACTTTACTATCCCATGTGGCCGCGGGAGAGGAATTATGAATGACAGTGAAGCGACGCAACTGACGCTGGTTGGTCACATGATCATGACAACATGGCGGATGTAGTACGTCCACATTACATTCAAGCTACCGTTTTCATACTGTATAGAATGTACGTTTTTTTAATGGTCGCAAAGTAAATTCAAACTCAAATGTAGGACCGACTATGTCCGTTCCATGTACTTACTATAGAGTTACGGTTAGGGTTTGCACTTTATTTTACATTATGTGTACTTACACGCACTTACAGTGTACTTAAGTAAGAAAGTACTGGTAATATACGGTAACTACATGGGTTAAGGTTAGGTTCAGGGTTAGTAGTTATTACCCAGTTATTGCAATTATAGTATGTAAATGTGGAACAGTACTGTAAAATAAAGTGCTACCAGGTTTGGTTTATAGGGTTAGTAACTGTATGTATAATTTACCGTTTTTCCTATAGTAAGTACTTGTAGTAACTTGTAACTACGTCACCTTTAAAATAAAGTGTTACCAGTGTAGTGTTACAAATTTTATTAAATGTTTAATTAGGTTCCAATACAATAGTATTTAAAATGTACACAGTGTTTTCCACTTTGAGGCATAGATTATGAGATTTAAAGCAAGCAATCCTGCTTGCTGACATTAACCTTTTGTCACTTCTCAGAGTACAGCTGGGCCTTTAGTCTATGTTAATGTTAAGGTTTGAGTGATCTAATCAGGTTGATTGGATCACCATCTCTATACATGACACTGTTATGCTGATGAGATAAGGGCTGGGGAATTTCCGGTAACGCGCTGAATCCTGTGCTTCATTTACATGCTTTGTTTCAGAGTGTCTCCACCTCTATGTAATCCCTCCCCCTTGAAAGGTATATAAACTACAATATATACTGACTCAGACTTGAGAATACTACAGCAATGCAACAGCAATACAGAACCCTGCTTAAACGATACACCCGAGTCTCCTGGTCTTCACTTCTGAGTTTTCAAACACTTTAGAAGAGAAAGTACACAACACCAGTTATTGTTTTGTGGAGTGAACGGTCCTTTAAACCTACAGCACAATGTCTCATATTTTTGCTTTTGTGCTGGCTCTTCAAAATGGTATGATTCCTGTGCATTACTGTGTTTGCACAAAGACAACTTTAATGCACAGGAATCACATGCACAATTTTTATGCAATTTTATACTATTAAGCATGTTCAAAACCATAATATAATGAACTAATATTAATATACAGTTTCAGTGGTGATGTTTTGTAAGATTATTTTTGAGCAGTAAAAATACACAGCAACTTTAATAGATTTTATTTAGAACCCAAGCAAGATGCAAAAACAAACACTTTGATATTAAAATAAGCAGCAGTCTGATATTCATTAGATAGAAAGGCATACAAAAGAAAATGAAAGCGTAAGGTTAGACCTGTAATGTGTCTGTGCGCCCACACACACACACTTCATTATCAAGGGAATGAACAGTCTAATTAAACGCTGACTGACACTTCACGTCCCCAGCGAGTGTCATTTCCAGAACCGAACCCTTCGGAGCCCATGAACCTCTCTAATTAAGAGTGTAACAGCAGAGAGACAAATGCATGTTTAACACACTCCGACCCCAGAATGAACACACACAGAGAGAGAGAGAGAGAGAGAGAGAGAGAGAGAGAGAGAGAGAGAGAGAGAGAGAGAGAGAGAGAGAGAGAGAGAGAGAGAGAGATCTCGTGCATAATGACGTCCTGACTGCTGGTTTCAGACAGGAGGTCAATGTCTATTTTTATAGGCTACATTTAAACTCTCTCACACACACACACACACTTCAAAGTCGTCTCTGGCCGCGGGAAAGTGACCGCAGAGAAGGTTAAACGAAGGCC